CGTTTGAAACACCCGTCCGATATTTTCTATGAGTCAGGATGCTAATCAAAGAAATACATAATACATTGAAAGCATACCAACAAGCAGAATAGAAAGTGCGACGGCAACGATGAGAATAGCGAGCTCGACTGTTCTCAACAATTCCGACAGTTGTTGTAGTGTTGTGTTCAGGTTTTGGAGGGTCTTCAGAACGACAAACGTTAATAATTTTTCAATTATAAGGTAGAAACGTCACGAAGTTAGAAGTACTGATAACTTTCGATAAGTAGAACATTGGTTTTTAAATCATCAGCTATGTGAGATTAACTTAGCAAAAACCTTCCAATCCTATTTTGACTTAGTTTATAGTATGCGACTTCAAATTACAAAATTCGCTGATTTTGATATCATATAAATTAGCAATTGGATTCTCTAAGAAAAGCTACTGAAGGATGCGTTTTTTGTGAGGAAAATTTCAAACCACCCCTTGATAATTCAAGGACTCTTGCCGTACAGTAAAATATAGCGAGATATTTTGCTAAGCTGAAGTGACGACAAGATCTCTTATCAAACGGAAGTGCGGATGAAAGAATAAAGCTCGTTATGTTAATCACAATTCGAAGGATGCGCTATGAATTCTCCTTCACAACGACTCGTGATGAACAACGATGCTAGTGCTGTTATCCCTCTCAGAAAATCTACAATTCTACTTACCCATGAGGATTGGAAGGTATGGTAAGCTTGGGACGCGCACGGAACGACTATATGTAGGAACTACAATGCTGATAATGAGCTTCTATGCAGCTTTAACTTTTGTGTTTTCGCACAATTTCTATTAATATCGGTCTTGTGTCGATATTAATGCGAAACAATATGGAAACAAAAAAAAACGTTCCTAGTCATTCATGCGCCCTGTTAAAATTATTTAATTGTCACTAAGATTGTAATTCAAAGTAAAGTAAGGAAATGTCAAATCAATGGAAGAAACTTACTACATCTAGCGACATCACTCAGCTGATCAATACACCTCAGCGCAAAGTTGTATTGAGGTCTGAAACATATTAGTGTTGGTTTGAGTTCTCATCGAAACCAAAATAACCTCTCAACCAGTGTATTCTGAATGCCTAGCAGAACTGGCATGAATGCAACGGAGCAACCTGTCGATGAACAAAGCTCAAGGCCTTTAAAGTTTCTATTGAATGTTTTCTTACTAATAAAGCAGCATTAGAAAGAACAACGAATTTATTCTAATTTAGTATGAAATTTCAAAATATGGGAAATAACTTATCCTAGGCAATTCTACGAGAATAGAAATGCTAGTCATCAACAAAACCAAGAGCGATCGGAAAAGACCATAGGAAAAAGAACGATGTTATGCGCTGCTGTAGATGATGACGCTGCATTTGATTAGTGATTATGATCGATTGAAAAGTGAAATTCAGTATCGTAACAGAGAAATGAAGCACTCCGTTCGTTGGATGTCATTTCTGTCTAAGCGCAGAATTTATAAAATCCAAAAATACAATTTCTGCGACATCTAGTCAGGAGGATAATAACTTTTACGAACTAATTTTAGGATATGTTTAATTTATTGTATTCAGGCTAATTCTGCATAGCTGGAATTTGAACAAGAAAAAAGAAAAGATTATAAGTATGACATTTTGATCCCTAAATTTCTTTGACAAGAAAGGCTAGCAGTGATCTATTAAGATGACAGATGCTATCGGCGACATTAGGATGAAGTGGATTTCGTACTGTAGATTAGTGAAACGACAATCATGTCGAGGGAAATAAAAAAAATCGTTACTGCAATTTGAGAATCTGATTGAAAATTGTTTAGACAAACACGGTATTCACTGTAACAATGTCAAGCTCTTGGGATATTTTCTGAAACCTATAGATTTTATCTAAGGAGAGATCGGTGCACAGTTCAAGGAAGGCTGTGTAGTCGATCAACAAGTGACGGGCAGAAGACCAAACATGGGCAGTAGCCGATTGCACTCGTTCTGCGGCGCTGATGCATTCAGAGGAGAGATGGAAACAAATCGTGATGAAACTTTTCTTATTGAAATAAGACAGGCCAGTTCTCATTAGGTAACTCAAGTATTAACTGCCCTGAAAGCCTTCATTCTTGCTTCCATAAATAAAAGCGCAGTTCTGATCTTAGTGAGCATATTAGTTTCTATCGTATTAATATAAAATGCAATGATCAATGTGTTTCATTATCCTGCAATTACAATGCATAGCGAAGAATTTTGTTGCATTTCATTCACGTCTTCACCCTAACTAGGGTTTAACCCCGATTTCTACCCACTAGATATATACTCTGACTGTGATTGCCGACGGCCGTCGAATAGATGAGAAATAAGACTGAGAGAAAGGCAGAGCGATGGTGCGATAGTGTCGCGCCATCGTGTGCTGTCATGGAAAAGCGACGGTTGGAATTTATGACACAAAAACATTAGATTCCACGTTTTGTCTTCCTCAGTGATCTTGTGATTAAAATCCACTGCTTACACTGGATTTAAGAATATGGGAACTTCAGTTCTAATTAAAGCGTGTTCGAGGATTAACGGTCTCACTAACTTTCATCACACATGTGCGAGAAGACAACAGAAGCTTTGCACCTGAGTCGCAGAGCAAAAGTTAGAGACTCGAGACGTAGGCTCTCTTAATGACAATCAATGGACCAGATTAGTTGATCGAGTTTCAGCGAGAATAAAAATATGGTTTCTTTGAGTGTCTGGGATTAGGCAGAAACATTTGGGTTACTCTTGCAGAAGATAGGAGGGCTTAATTTGAAAACCCGGTTTTCTCTAATTCTCACATTACCATTCAGTCATATTCTTTCTAGAATGAGCTTATATTGCGAAGCTGTTATGGAAGTAAATCAAGTCTACTCTGTTAGCATCTCGACGCGATACTAAAATTCGCTCAAACGATCCATTGATACATGAGGGTGTAGGTATGAGGCTGCCAATTTTCAACAACGTAAATATTCATCCGACTTTCAAGAAAACATTGCATATAACTTTCAAACAACCGTGTCACTTATGAAGACTAACAAATATATGGAGCTCTTCTAATTCATTACTGACCGTGAGCATTCTCAAGAAGCTTCGCCTTAAGCTGGTTTCTTTCTCCTTTCCAGTTTATATACATTTGGAAATGTTTACGTCATGCCTCAATACTTAATATACTCTTATGTAAACATGTATTATCTAATCTATCGCAAACGACAGTGTAAAGATGTGGAAAAATTTTTCGCGAAATATGCAAAAAAGAATCACATAGAAAATGGTCCCCAAAGCTACCTAAATCTTAGTTACGGTAGAAATAGCCTTCAAATTTTGACAACACCTCAGGTGGCTAGCTGAATTCTTGCACTGTCTCATTTTCAATCTCTCGGATACTTATTTAGGTATTCATGAACATGGTTATCATGCTAGAAGTTTTTGATGAAAAGCATGTATTTGGAAAGCAGAGCTTCATCTACTCAGAACCACAACTTCAGAGAATGTTGATTTTAGATCGTTTTCTTTATTCATTAGAATAATCCTTGTACACACAAACAAAGCTTACATAAAGTCTCTTAATTGTCTGAGAGTTTATGTCCACCATTCTATCATAATTATGAAACATTCGAAAAGGTTCAAAAGTAACTCCATTTAAAGTTATGCGTGTATTTACAAAGCCTTATCAAAAACTGTGCAAAGTTTGCAATAAAACAGTGCAATAAGAATTGGTGCGCAAAACGGTCGTCGGTAGTGCAACGGTTCAGCACGCGCTCTCGAAAAGAGCGAGATTTTGGTTCAAATCTCAGCTGACGCAAGCGTTTTTGTACACCACTCTACATTATTGAATATATTGTAGCATTATAGCACTGCAAGTGGCGGTCAGATAAAATGATTTCTAGCAATATGCATTGCTTGATTTTTACCATATTTGCACAAACTTTCTTGACATTTATTTGTAAAGAGAAGTTGAAAGTTTTTGAAGGTTGAATAGATTATAATGCAATGCATTCACCTCAACATTTTTTGCAAAGATAATGCTATTCAAATTCTAATTTCTAACCTGTGCAGCTAATGACGTGGCTCAACCTTTACAACAAAGCGATAAACGAGATGCGTGTGCATACATTAAATAACAAATATTCTTTGAAAAAGGTGCATATTCGAACGTGTAACTCCATCTTAGGGATAGAAGTTGTGAAAAGAGTATGGTTAAAGTTACTCTGTTCAGAACAAGCTGCAGTATGGTTTTTGGAAATATGCGCCAGAAGCAAAATGGACACCAAAAGGAACGATAAGGAAAGGGCGACAACAGTGTCGCAACAAATCGAAACTTCTTGATAAGAACAGCTGCAATGAGTTATTGATATAAGCATACGAAATACTATTTTCACATCCTTAGATTTATCGTCTTCTATGGACTCGTTACCTTATTTTCACGCATAATAAAGACGCAATGTCACTCGCTTAGTTTGTGTTAGCATATTGTAATAAAAGAGTACTTGTAAGAGAAGAGTTTGTGCGTCTTCATTGTTGCATTTCATTCTGAAAAGACTGATACTGATAGACTACCCTACCTGACAAGCTCATCCTCGTTTTGCAGTACTAGTGACATTTTGCACTTTTGACAATCAATTAGAAGTAGCAAGACCGACTATCTTATAATCGACATTCTCAGATAAATCCTTGTCTTTCCTTTCTGAGCAAAACACATGGTTTCTATAATAAAATTTATTGTGGCAGGCAACGCTTCGGCTGTTTAGTCTCCTTTAGAACCTAGAAAGACCAGGCTGCTCACAGTCCACGCAACCCCCGCACCTCCATTACTTATATGTCAAAAAATTCGTCAAGTAATCGCATGAAGCGTAAATTATTTTCCAACACATAGCAATACCTTTTTATTCGACTGTATTTGAGTCCTCGGTTGAAATAATGTTATCCGACAGCATATTTCAGGCCTTTCTGAGGTCTCGTATGAGCTTCAAGTGCTGAACGTACATTTCGGCTTTCTAAGAAGCCTCACTAGTAGAACAGTACCTTTCGATTCAAGCTAGCTCTTCAACGAAGGGTATCGGCGGCGATCATGTTATACTACACGTCAAGTGATAGACTACGTGACATTGCAGTATTTTACGGTCGATTGCTCTATTGTTGGTAAAGTGCATATAGCAATACCTTTCTACGTGTAAACTTTCTCACTTGACGTGAAGTGTATCATGTTCCGGGCCAATACCCTTAGCTGTAGGGCTTGGTTAGTCGAAGGGCACTGTGCTTGTACTAATAACCAAAAGCCCGAAACGTACTTCTAAAACTGAAGGCGCTATACGAGACTTCTGAAAGGTCTGAAATATGACATCAAACTTAAGCATACTTGCCGCTTTTTGCGAATTGCTCACTGAATTGTCTCAAGTAGAGACTAACTGCGTAAAGATTACATGGGCTGCGAGTACACATTCTCTATCAAAATAACGGTCTCAAATATTGCGCCACATTATGTGTGATCACTTGGCATCCTGGTTGCAGTTCATGTCTGAATTGAGGGCGTTCATCCAAAGCGCTTCCATAATCTCACGTTGATGTCTTATGTCCTGCTCGACGAAGGTGACTTCTTCTTCAAATGCTCTCTATTGCGTGTATGTGCCCCATGCGACCCTAGTGGGGTACTTAGCTTAGCTATAGTGTTCCTGTCTAAGTGTTCTTTCATGTAAACACAGAGAGGCCTTTCCCTTTCGCCAATGCACTTGCCAAAGCACGCTTTACAGATGTTAGCTAATCTATACTCGTGCTCACGCAATCACTGTATTTAGCTTAATAGTAAATTATTGCGTGTGATTGTGCAGTACACGGAGCTGTGAATGGGGTACTCTGGCCGAGGTTGTGATGCTCGTCGCGAGCTGATTTCACCCCAACATTCTCAGGCAGTCTACAGTAAACGCCCTATAGAGCATTACAGCCATGTTATCCTTGAGATTACGAAGAGGCGCGCTGAACTAATATTCTACGGTGTTTAGAAAAAACGACTGAATGCTAGAATTATTTGGTACGCTTAGTGAGAAAAAGAGCACCGCGAAGACGAATACTAAAGTGTCTAGAGTGTGCTTACATAGAGGGTCTTGTAAGTGGCTGCCAAGTAGATACTACATTAGAGTAACTGGTGGTATTTCTTTGTTACCAATTTCCCCAGGTCCGCTCTTTTCACAGAACATTTAATGGTAAACTCACTCTGTTTGAAACGAATGGTACAATAAAAGAAAATTTGCTTTACTTGAAGTTGTGCTTAAGAAAGCGTTATTTCCTTTAAAGTTGTGCAGAGGAAGTGCAACTTCGTATCACCAGGAAATGGCTATTTCCTGAGTTAAACTTTTGGAACAGCATTTTCTTCTCCCTTCCTGTGTACACACTGGTTGTTGTTCGGAACATGGTTTCGAACAACAGCCAGTATGTATGTGAGGGAGAGAAAAGAGATATTGTACCAGTATAAATAAGAAGCGAGGAAACAATATATCCAATGACTCCAAAGCCCATGACTGTTTATATGGGTGCTTGAACTGCTCAACATGCCGACTAAGCTAAATTTTACACGCAGATGAGATGGTTGACAATGGGAAAGCAAATAGGCACTATGCTCCATTGGGTTTATGGCTGGAGTTAAAGCCGCTGTATTCGATTTCCGGCCACGCTACTGTAAGTATTTTGGCAAGTGCTATGTCATCTGCTCTTTACAAGACATGACAGGCATTTGTTCAATTTGAGCTAGAGGCCAAAGTGGATAAGCTTTACCTAGCAGAACACAACAAAAGACTGGTCTGTGTTTTAGAACGTCCTGATCAGTGTGTCCTAAACTGCGTCATGAATTAGTACGAAGGTGAAGTGATAAGAACGTACTAATTGTTTGATTTTTCACTCACCCTTCAACACTCTTGTAGGTCATCGATGATGAACGTTTTCACGAAAGGTTTGTGGGAAAGACTGTCCGAAGTAAGAAATCTGAAGAAAACGAGCATTCTCTGCTTTCTTTCCCATCGAAAAAATGCAGATATAAAGTTCGTTTTGGAAAACATCATTCTGGAGAAATCGGCATACTACCGAAAGCTGTAAGCTGCCATCCGCTCTCCCATCGTTTGTATGACTATTTAACAGAAGTCAAAACTGTTAAAGTGCTCTAAAGATAGACGGAGTGATTGAACGAGTTTAGTTACAATCTACCTATCTACTCTCTCGTAAGCAGAATTCGAATGTTTACTTTGGCGAAATGGAAATCTTAGCTGAGGAGACATAGAGAGAAAGTTTATCCTTTAAGGTACAAGTTGCGATAGCATAAGGAAAGAAGCAACTTCACTACCCAAAATTGCCAATGACCTTCTTGGAAAATAAGGCCATAAACAACATGCTCTTCTTGCATTCCATACGACTTTATTAACCTGGAAGTTTTTGAAGTCTTTGTAGTATTAGACAGCTTAAATCTCAAAAAATGTGAAAATAGAAAACGGCTTTTTATTGCGCTGCAACGTCAAAGATAAAATTGTGTTCTTCGTCAGAACATTTGTCGCTGTACAATTATTTTCCTTGACTTTTAGTCACCCTTAGCTAGCTTAAGTGTTGTGTTTTCTGTTCTTATGTCTTCCAACAGTGTATTTGATTTTCTAAAAGAGTTTTATTGCACTGTAACAGCCAAAGAAGACTGGCCTTAGCAATTTCGGATTATCTACGTAATCCGTAGCTTTTGCGATTCATTGAAAAACGGAACACTCCGCTAGGGGTGCAAAGAGCACAGAAGCACGACGGAGTTGATTTTGAAATCGAAGTCACCATCCTTGCGCAGGAGCAAAGAACATCAGCGCGAAAGATCTTGGAAGCGTTTTGGATTAATGCGACCAATGCAACCATAAATCGCAAGGAGGAATGCTTTGATATCACTCGTGATTGGATCAGTGTATAAGACTGTTGTTTTGATGGGTAAGGTGCATTACGAGCCTATGTGATTTCCATCCGGTGATCTCCACTTGGACTATCCAGTGGAACACATATAAAAAGCGGTGAGTATGTTGAGAGTTGTTTTTGCGCTTGATACGATTGAAATCTAGGTCTGGGATTTTTTCTAAGAGGGTAATGGAGGTGTTTGACTGATTGGACTGCGGACAATTTGACCTTTCCAGGCTCTGAAGAAGACGAACTGCCGAAACGTCAGCTGTGAATAAAGATTATTGTAACACCTCGTGTTTTGCTTAAAGAAGAAAATCAGCAATTATATTGAAGCATGCCGAGGTTAATAGACAGTCGGTCTTGGGAATGGTGCCTTTTATTTTCAAAACGCTTTTTTCTGTCGCGCTGTAGCCGGGAAATTAACATTACACATATTAATGTATATTAACATATAAGTTATGACAGATTTAAGCTATTAACACTATGGTAGTGTTCTACAATACACGGAGGCCTCCCCCTCTTCCAGAGTCCATCATATTCTGCCATTCCTGGAAGGACAGTGACAACACCATGTAAGTCACTAATAGTTTTTCTTTTGTCGTATTTGGAATCAGTTATCTATTTGGTGCGTGACAATGTATGGCACCTTCATGGACGGATATCACCCTGACATGCTGTTTTACAACGAAGCGCAATCTATTTGTAATAGGTTTAAATTAGTTAAAAACATGTAGACCGAGGAGATAGCACAAACTGGACGCCGATGAGTTTGGTGGGAGTGCTTTGAAGTTCTATCGGAATGATTATAATTGCGAATACATGAAAGACTAAGATTAGGGCTTGGAAAGTGAGACATTGGAATGTTATAAACTGTATGTACTGCTTAGATGCGTA